AGCCCTCTCCAGCTTTGTGAGCGTTTCAACTATTTTCAGTTTCAGTTTTCTAGACAACTGCTTAGAAGAACCCATGGTGCTGATTGTTGGGGCAAGGTCAGATGAGTCGGGGCATTTAAAACCTTTGAGATTGACATCACCTGGTCTTCCCAGACGATGATTGAGAACAATCCATGACACTGGCAGGTCTCAGCTTGGCAAAGGGGGCAGTGCATGCTATAAACTCTGCAGGGGGCCCAAACTTTTGCAGACGCCATTTTTTTGTTTTCTGTTATTTTGAAAGTGTAAATGATGGAAATAAAATCTAACTTTTGTTGACATATTATAAGAATGTCTAATCTGTAATTTGATGCCTTTTGGAGATTTTTCCATTTTCCTTGGCTTCTTTATGCACATTAATACAAATTTTTAGCTGGGGTGCCCAAACTTTCCATCCCCACTGTACGTATGCATGTATGTATGTGTGTATGTATGTGTGTATGTGTATGTGTGTGTATATGTATGTGTGTATGTATGTGTGTATGTGTGTGTATGTGTGTGTATGTATGTATGTATGTATGTATGTATGGAGCTCCACATTGAGACTGAGGTGATCATATCCGAAGTGCTGGATTAGCGGTCCCCTGCACCTGGAAGCAGCGCAGGTAAGGGCCCCGGACAAGGAGTATATGTTGGTTCCCAAGGTCTGAGGGGATGGGAAGGGGTTAATATTTGCCTGAAGTTGGGCTTTACCAGACGGCTCTGCTCCCAGTATTGTGACTTCCTACGACACCAACAATGTGATCTGCAGTCTAAATAGAAGCTACACGGCATCACAAAGGAACCAGATTGATGCATTTTATTTGGCAGGAAAGCAGCGGCCGGCGCTGAGCTAGAAGAGCGCGGCGGTTCCTGGAACGCTTACAGGAAAAGATTATCTAACAGCTGCATCCAGGACTGGAGGGGAGTTTGGTGAAATCGTCTGCTTAGTGGAAGAGCGGACAGTCGTCTGTATCAGAGACACGACCAAAGACCGGCCACATCACCGGGCCTCCCCAGAACTGGACTCACCTCAACATCGGATGGCAGGACCTCATCGGCGTGCGGACTCTCGTCTTTTGGTTTCTGCCACATCTTTGGTGCAGCTGCCGCGGTCTGCGCTGTAGGGAGAAGAGATGGTAATGTGAGTTTTCCTTGTGTGTCACGGAATTAGGCTCTTCCTGTGATGTGGGGACATGTGATCAGCCCGGCACAAATTTAATCTGTAATACCAACAGACAAGCATCACCTTTATTTATACACAGTCTGCTCCATCCAGAACCGGTGAGGGGTTTATCCCGGAATTAGAGCATACATATAGTGTATAAATATCTCCACTCACTACAATGGGAGCTGTGAGAAGACCCACACCGAGAGAAGACCCTCTATAGTGAGAAGGACCTAAAGCCAAGAAGACCTTGTATAGTGAGAAGAACCAAACGCCAAGAAGACCTTCTATATAGTGGGAAGGACCTAACGCCAAGAAGACCGTCTATATAATGGGAAGGACCTAACGCCAAGAAGACCTTCTATAGTGAGAAGGACCTAATGCCAAGAAGACCTTCCATAGTGGGAAGAACCTAATGCCAAGAAGACCTTCTATAGTGAGAAAGACCCAACACCAAGAAGACCTTCTATAGTGAGAAGGACCTAACGTCAAGAAGACCTTCTATAGTGAGGACCTGAGGCCAAGAAGACCTTCTATAGTGAGAAGGACCTAATGCCAAGAAGACCTTCCATAGTGGGAAGAACCTAATGCCAAGAAGACCTTCTATAGTGAGAAAGACCCAACACCAAGAAGACCTTCTATAGTGAGAAGGACCTAACGCCAAGAAGACCTTCTATATAGTGGGAAGGACCTAACGCCAAGAAGACCTTCTATATAGTGGGAAGGACCTAACGCCAAGAAGACCTTCTATATAGTGGGAAGGACCTAACGCCAAGAAGACCTTCTATAGTGGGAAGGACCTAACGCCAAGAAGACCTTCTATAGTGGGAAGAACCTAACGCCAAAAAGACCTTCTATGGCAGTGGTCTCCAAACTGCGGCCCTTTACTATCCTTTATTTGGCCCTTGGACACTATTCCTCCCAATGACACCAACGATGGGGCACTATTCCTCCCACTGACACCAATGATGGTGCACTATTCCTCCCACTGACACCAATGATGGGGCACTATTCCTCCCACTGTGGGCCATGTCAGCAGTATGGATTGCCCTCAAGGAGCCGGCTGTATCTGGGGTACACTATGTAGAGAGTGTAGGGTTCAGGAGTGCGTTGGGTACAGAGTGCAGAGTTCAGGGGTGCAAACCTTAACCCTCCCCACCCCAAAGCTTCCTCACATCTCTCTCTCTCCTACCTGGCCTGGTCCTAGTACTTCCCTATGTAGGTGGATCTACTACCTGTGTATTCGGCTGTAGTACCACCCCATTTAGGCAGCTCTGCCTCGCAGGAAGATCACTCTCTCAGACTCGGGAAAATCCTTCCCCTCTGTGAGTGCGTGCAGAGATCTGTTAGATCCAGAAGCCACTGAGAGCCATGATATCCCTTGTAAACACAGAAGACTTTTGTGTTTACAAGTGACAGAGGGGAGGAGTGAAGGGTGAGATCCAGGGGTGGAAGAATGGAGTTGTGCCACCTTTTGGCTGCAAAACTGGGTGGGAGGACCATATCACAAGGCTTGCGGGCCGGCTTCAGCCCACAGGCCTTGTGTTTGACATATGTGCTCTATAGTGAGAAGAACCTAATGCCAAGAAGACCCTTCTAGGAAGAAGAGTTTCTACAGTGAGAAGAACCTAATGATGAGAAGACCCTCTATAGAGAGAAGAACCCAACACCAAAAGACCCTTATGAGGGCAGGACCCTCTATCTATAGTGAAAATAACCTAATGCCAAGAAGACCCTTATGGGGAGAAGACCCTCTAGAATGAGGATAACCTAATGCCAAGAAGACCCTTATGGGAAGAAGACCTTCTATAGTGAGAAGAACCCAATGCCAAGAAGACCCTTAGGGGAAGAAGACCTTCTTTAGTGAGAAGAATGTAAAGCCAAAAAAACTCTTATGGGGAGAGGACACTATAGTGAGAAGACCCTAATGCCAAGAAGATCCTTATGGGGAGAAGACCTTCTATAGTGAGAAGAGCCTAACGCAAAGAAGACCCATATGGAAAGAAGACCCTGTATAATGAGAAGAACCTAAAGCCAAAATTCCCTTATGGGGAGAGTGCCCTCTATAATGAGAAGAGCCTACAGCCAAAAAGACCCTCTAGAATGAGAAGAACCTAATGCCAAGAAGATCATTATGGGAAGAAGACCTTCTAGATTGTAAAGAACCTAATGCCAAGAAGATCCTCCATAGTGAAAAGAACCTAAAGCCAAAAGTCTCTTATAAGGAGAGGACCCTCTAAAGTAAGAAGAGCCTGATGGAGAGAAGACCCTCTATAGTTATAAGAACCTAACACGAAGAAGACCATTATGGGAAGAAGACCCTCTAGAGTGAGTAGAACCTAACAGAGGACCCTTATGGAGAATAGATTCCCTATAGTGAGAACTCAACTCCAAGAAGCTCCTTATGGAGGGTAGAAAGACCCACTATACTTAGAAGAACCGAACCCTAGGAAGACAATTATGGGGAGAAGATCTTCTATAGTGAGAAGTTCCTAATGGCAAAAAGACCCCTATGATGAGAAGAACCTAATGGAGAGAAGACCCTTATGGAGAGAAGACCCTTATGGAGAGAAGACCCTTATGGAGAGAAGACCCTTATGGAGAGAAGACCCTTATGGAGAGAAGACCCTTATGGAGAGAAGACCCTTATGGAGAGAAAACCCTTATGGAGAGAAGACCTTATGGAGAGAAGACCCTTATGGAGAGAAGACCCTTATGGAGAGAAGACACTTATGGAGAGAAGACACTTATGGAGAGAAGACACTTATGGAGAGAAGACCCTTATGGAGAGAAGACCCTTATGGAGAGAGAGACCCTTATGCAGAGAAGACCCTTATGCAGAGAAGACCCTTATGGAGAGAAGACCCTTATGGAGAGAAAAACCCTTATGAGAGACTTTTATGGATAGAAGACACTTATGGAGAGAAGACCCTTATGGAGAGAAGACCCTTATGGAGAGAAGACCCTTATGGAGAGAAGACCCTTATGGAGAGAAGACCCTTATGGAGAGAAGACTTTTATGGAGAGAAGAAGACCCCTACTGGGCTAGCTATGAAAATTCTGCTGTATGGCAGTTCACAAACACATCAGATCTACCTAATTTACCAGAATCAATGGAGTGGGAAGAGATGAAGCTTTACGTAACCCAAACAACGATCTTCTCATATTTGCTCTCTTTGGTCTGTTAAATATCCCATCAGAAGTGTTCGATCTTTTCAAAAAGTGCAGAAAAGTCCTGCAATCCCCGCAGTTATCTCAGACATTGATATCAGGATGTGTGTTACATAGTTAGTCTGGCTGATCCAGAGGAAGTGTTCGAACGACACTTTTAAATAAAACCTGTTTTCATTATGTACTCTATATTAGACCCAGTGATATCATCATTGGGTCTCTGTGCTTATCTATGCAATGCAGGCAGATCATGGCTGGTGGGGGGCCCGGCAGAGTGCCGTACATAGCTTCCTGAACACATCACAGCACCCAGCCTCAGTACATCTCTCAAGAGTCCTCATTCCTGATGCAATCAGTGGGCTGGGACTTGGGAGGAGTTATGCAAATCAAATAAATTAAAGGGCTGGGCCAGGGACAGTCAGGTGGAGGAGGAAAGGGCTAGATAATGCTGGGCGTCCTCCTGAAGCGGGCTCTGTGACTTGCTGCAGACTGCTACTGAAGGGAAGTCTGGAGGTCGGAAATTAGTAGACAACCCTTCTAGAAGACATGTGGTCTGTATACCAAGGCCACCCCAGTGAGGCAGACTATTCCTCCCACGTAGATGGAGTGGGGGAGGAGTTCGCTGTCACGTGACCGCGGTGGTTTTTCTGGGGGGGGGCTGTAGAGAATCTCGCCATCACCATATGACGGGGTGTCCTAGTTCTGCAGAACCGCCGCAGACAGACGCCGAGGGATAATTCGTACGCCGATTACTGCGCTGGAGTTTACAGAGGAGACATGAAAGACCTCCGACTCCCTCTCCCCGCTCTCAGAACTTCCCGGATAACGACAAGGCCGATGCGGGGCTCGGAGAGTAAATGGAGTGCGAGGTTCAGTCACTTATCAGCGCCGCGCAGGATTGGCTGCCTGCAATCTATAGAGGAACACGAGCGACAGTCTGCAGATAAATGGCTTTTGTTTCATGTTACCGAGACTGATCAGAGGAACGCTCTGCAGAGAGCCCAGAGAATCAGACCCTACCTCCGGGACCCCTCCAGGGACCAGCCGAGCCTGAACCTGATCAGAGGAACGCTCTGCAGAGCCCAGAGAATCAGACCATACCTCCGGGACCCCTCCAGGGACCAGCCGAGCCTGAACCTGATCAGAGGAACGCTCTGCAGAGCCCAGAGAATCAGACCATACCTCCGGGACCCCTCCAAGGACCAGCCGAGCCTGATCAGAGGAACGCTCTGCAGAGAGCCCAGAGAATCAGACCATACCTCCGGGACCCCTCCAGGGACCAGCCGAGCCTGATCAGAGGAACGCTCTGCAGAGAGCCCAGAGAATCAGACTATACCTCCGGGACCCCTCCAGGGACCAGCCGAGCCTGATCAGAGGAACGCTCTGCAGAGCCCAGAGAATCAGACCCTACCTCCGGGACCCCTCCAGGGACCAGCCGAGCCTGATCAGAGGAACGCTCTGCAGAGCCCAGAGAATCAGACCATACCTCCGGGACCCCTCCAGGGACCAGCCGAGCCTGAACCTGATCAGAGGAACGCTCTGCAGAGCCCAGAGAATCAGACCATACCTCCGGGACCCCTCCAGGGACCAGCCGAGCCTGAACCTGATCAGAGGAACGCTCTGCAGAGCCCAGAGAATCAGACCCTACCTCCGGGACCTCTAGGGACCAGCCGAGCCTGATCAGAGGAATGCTCTGCAGAGCCCAGAGAATCAGACCATACCTTCGGGAAACCTCCAGGGACCAGCCGAGCCTGATCAGAGGAACGCTCTGCAGAGCCCAGAGAATCAGACCATACCTCCGGGACCCCTCCAGGGACCAGCCGAGCCTGATCAGAGGAACGCTCTGCAGAGCCCAGAGAATCAGACCATACCTCCGGGACCCCTCCAGGGACCAGCCGAGCCTGATCAGAGGAATGCTCTGCAGAGCCCAGAGAATCAGACCATACCTCCGGGACCCCTCCAGGGACCAGCCGAGCCTGAACCTGATCAGAGGAACGCTCTGCAGAGCCCAGAGAATCAGACCATACCTCCGGGACCCTTCCAGGGACCAGCCGAGCCTGAACCTGATCAGAGGAACGCTCTGCAGAGCCCAGAGAATCAGACCATACCTCCGGGACCCCTCCAGGGACCAGCCGAGCCTGAACCTGATCAGAGGAACGCTCTGCAGAGCCCAGAGAATCAGACCATACCTCCGGGACCCCTCCAGGGACCAGCCGAGCCTGATCAGAGGAATGCTCTGCAGTGCCCAGAGAATCAGACCCTACCTCCGGGACCCGTCCAGGGACCAGCCGAGCCTGAACCTGATCAGAGGAACGCTCTGCAGAGCCCAGAGGATCAGACCATACCTCCGGGACCCCTCCAGGGACCAGCCGAGCCTGATCAGAGGAACGCTCTGCAGAGAGCCCAGAGAATCAGACTATACCTCCGGGACCCCTCCAGGGACCAGCCGAGCCTGATCAGAGGAACGCTCTGCAGAGCCCAGAGAATCAGACCATACCTCCGGGACCCCTCCAGGGACCAGCCGAGCCTGATCAGAGGAACGCTCTGCAGAGCCCAGAGAATCAGACCATACCTCCGGGACCCCTCCAGGGACCAGCCGAGCCTGAACCTGATCAGAGGAACGCTCTGCAGAGAGCCCAGAGAATCAGACCCTACCTCCGGGACCCCTTCAGGGACCAGCCGAGCCTGAACCTGATCAGAGGAACGCTCTGCAGAGCCCAGAAAATCAGACCCTACCTCCGGGACCCCTCCAGGGACCAGCCGAGCCTGATCAGAGGAACGCTCTGCAGAGCCCAGAGAATCAGACCATACCTCCGGGACCCCTCCAGGGACCAGCCGAGCCTGAACCTGATCAGAGGAACGCTCTGCAGAGCCCAGAGAATCAGACCATACCTCCGGGACCCCTCCAGGGACCAGCCGAGCCTGAACCTGATCAGAGGAACGCTCTGCAGAGCCCAGAGAATCAGACCCTACCTCCGGGACCTGTCTAGGGACCAGCCGAGCCTGATCAGAGGAACGCTCTGCAGAGAGCCCAGAGAATCAGACCATACCTCCGGGACCCCTCCAGGGACCAGCCGAGCCTGATCAGAGGAACGCTCTGCAGAGCCCAGAGAATCAGACCATACCTCCGGGACCCCTCCAGGGACCAGCCGAGCCTGAACCTGATCAGAGGAACGCTCTGCAGAGCCCAGAGAATCAGACCATACCTCCGGGACCCCTAAAGGGACCAGCCGAGCCTGAGCCTGATCAGAGGAACGGATTGGCCCTGTGCTGATCACATGCCCCTCCCAAGAAAAAAAAACAAAAAACACCTCTAGCAATACACACCAAACTGAGCATGTGCAGAGTGTCTCCACACAATATGTCTTATCAGGGGATAAGAGGGGAACACTGGAAGAAGGGGAGGATCAGAGAAGACAGGATCAAACCGCCTTTTTACACAATGCGGATGATTAACCCCTTAGGTTCCACAGTGAGTGTACCCAGCATGCTTTGCTGCCCCTACAGACTGGTGTCACTGTGGCGGGTTCCGTATGACGGTTGTGCACTAGGCCGGTGCGCCCTCTTTGTGGTTTTCTAACCAGAAGGTGTTACCGGCCGGGCCGACACTTTTCCCCCCTATGAGCTCCCATATCGTCACCCAGCCCCCGCAATGCTGACCACTCCTCCCCCCATATCTGGCCGCCTCCCCCCTGTACTACGAACACTTCCAGGTCACCTACCTTCCACAGGACTCTTCCTTGAGGTGAAGCTCAGAAGGGTCACGCTTGGCTCTAGTTCTGTGTAAGTATCTGCCGGCCTTGCGTTCACAGAGTCCACGGCCCCATCCAAGCTGGGCGTTCTGACGTCATCCCGCTCGTCCGCATGGTCCGACACCACAGCTGGAAGAAGAGCGGCAGGAGGGGAGGTCTTAGTGGTACATTGAGCAGCAGCGATGAGAGGAGGAGGGGGCGATTCTGGCTGTACGGGCAACGTTTGAGGCACATTGGGAGGAGAAGTGCATTCTACACTCGTCTCCACAGGGGGCGCCAGCTCCGGCACATCCGGCGAAGTCTCTTCCCCCAACATTGCTTTCTCATCCACAGCACTGTCCACGGCCGAGTGTTCATAGCTTATGCCGTTCATTTCCTGAGGGGTCACCGGGGTTTCGGAGGGCTACGGTAGGCCCCGGCGGTTCCTTGCATAGCTCCTCTTCGGCGTCCTCCGTGATGGCCTCGTCGGGAGACGCGCATTCCTCTGCGGCGCTGTCACCCTCGCTCGTGTCTCCTAGGTGACAGGCCACAACCACGGGAGCCGTGGCGGCAGCTGCCACGCCGGGCAATGTTCCAGGCGGCAGGTGATGTTCGGATCCGGCGTCCGGCGCGGCGGGCTCAGCGACCTGCTCCGGTGTAGAGCACTTGGTGGAGGTGGCCGGCTCGGCGCGCACCGGGGCGGAGGGAGACGATTTCAACACGGGATCCAATTTTGGCTTCTCCTCTGTGGGGGAGGAACAGGAAGAGGATTACTGGAGAGATAACGCTTCACATACAGATACGCTCTGGGCAGGGTGGGGGAGGCCTTGAATCTCTCTAACTGCCAATTCAGCCCACCATGGGGACACACGGGGTGTCACCAAGACAGGAAAAGTGGGAAATCTCTGCAACGGGGACACAGAAATAGTGGAAATACCTGAGGGGAGTTCTTACTCTTCTTGTTGTGTTCTCCTCTTCCCCCGTTTTTCTGTTCATCCTCCCCTCAGGGCACACAATCTGGGAACACCGAGATGTAGGCTTGTGACAATGTGTACCAGATATTCAGAACCGTGGCCTCCATATTGTGTGGCCTCCAGATACAGGAAGACCACTAACACCCCATCCCAACGAACGGAGGATCAGTGACCTCCCCAAGTGGATCAGAGAGTCCTAGATCTGATCATAGGGATCCCGCTGGAATCCCGCTGGATTGTGGAGCCCAATGAACACAGCACATGGGGGGGGAGGGGGGGACATTTCCTTCCCCGCTGAAGAGGATATCCAACATTCCAGTGTTCCTATTGGTGCACATGACCCCCTTGGCATCCAATTATCACAAAACAATCCGAAGTCAGTTCTCACATCCATCTGCACGCCTCTCCCTTTGGAAAGACCAGCGGTACCTACCTATTTTGGGGTCCCTGACGGCAGTGAGATGAGGGCTCTCCACAGTCCCATACACCACTGGGCTGTGCTCAGGAACCTGGCTAGGAAGCTGCTGGGATTTGAAGTACAAAAGAGGGTGATAATGAGCGCGGGAACAGAAAAACTAACAGAAAGGTGTCAAAAAAAAGCAACAAAGGCAAGAAGAGCACAACAGAAATATTACAAAACAAGGAGGAGGCCAAGAGACGGGGGAGGGACAGATGGGGGTCAAGGGTACGAGGAGAAAAGGAAAGGGGAGAGACCAGGTCAAAAGGAGACAAGGACGGGGTCAAGGGTACAAGGAGACAAGGACAAGAATACAGTAGCCAAGGATGGAGGTCAAGGGTACAAGAAGAGGGGAGAGACGGGGTCAAGGAGACAAGGACGGGGTCAAGGGTACAACGAGAGGGGAGAGAAGGGGTCAAGGGTACAAGGAGACAAGAACAGGGTCAAGGGTACAAGGAGAGGGGAGAGAAGGGGTCAAGGATACAACGAGAGGGGAGAGAAGGGGTCAAGGATACAACGAGAGGGGAGAGAAGGGGTCAAGGATACAACGAGAGGGGAAGAACAGGGTCAAGGATACGAGAGGGGAGAGAAGGGGTCAAGGGTACAAGGAGACAAGAACGGGGTCAAGGATACAACGAGAGGGAAGAGAAGGGGTCAAGGTTATGAGAGGGGAGAGAAGGGGTCAAGGTTACAACGAGAGGGGAGAGAAGGGGTCAAGGGTACAAGGAGACAAGGACAAGGGGTCAAGGAGCCAGGGATAAGGTAGAGACAAGAATACAAGTAGCCAAGGATGGAGGTCAAGGGTACAAGAAGAGGGGAGAGACGGGGTCAAGGGTACAAGAAGAGGGAGAGAGACGGGGTCAAGGATACAAGGACAGGGGAGAGACGGGGTCAAGGAACAAGGAAAGGGGAGAGACGGGGTCAAGGAGACAAGGAAAGGGGAGAGACGGGGTCAAGGAGACAAGTAGCCAAGGATGGAGGTCAAGGAGACAAGGACGGGGGAGAGACGGGGTCAAGGAGACAAGACAAGACAGGGGAGAGACGGGGTCAAGGAGACAAGGACAGGGGAAGAGAGGGGTCAAGGAGACAAGGACAGGGGAGAGACGGGGTCAAGGAGACAAAAAGCCAAGGATGACGGGGTCAAGGAGACAAGGACAGGGGAGAGACGGGGTCAAGGATACAAGGAGACAAAGGAGCAAGGAAGGGGAGAGACGGGGTCAAGGAGACAAGGACAGGGGAGAGACGAGGTCAAGGAGACAAGGACAGGGAGAGAGACGAGGTCAAGGAGACAAGGAAAGGGGAGAGACGGGGTCAAGGAGACAAGGACAGGGAGAGACGAGGTCAAGGAGACAAGGAAAGGGGAGAGACGGGGTCAAGGAGACAAGTTGACAAGCACAGGGAAGACACCAGGTCAAGGATACAATGAGACAAGGACAAGGTATAGACAAGGACAGAGGAGAGACCAGGTCAAGGGTACAAGGAGGCGAGTCCCAGGTTACAAGGAGACAAGGTAGACGCAAGAGGACAAGGAGGGGGGAGAGAGGGGTCAAGGGACAAGGTGGGGAGGAGAGACAAGGAGACAAGGTGGGGGGAGAGACGGGGTCAAGGAGACAAGGTGGGGGGAGAGACGGGGTCAAGGAGACAAGTTGGGGAAGGGTCAAGGATACAATGGGGGGTAGAGACACAAGGAGACAAGGTGGGGGGAGGGTAGAGGCGGGGTTACAAGGGAGACGGTGGGGGGGAGAGGACGGGGGGGGGGGGGGGAGACACGGTGGGGGGGGAGACACGGTGGGGGGGGGGGGGGGGGGGGGGGGGGGGGACACGGTGGGGGGGGGGAGACACGGTGGGGGGGTTTCAGGAAGGTGGTGAGACAAGCATGTTGTGAAAGGCAGACGGGAAATTTGAGCAAAAAATAAGCAGAATTACAAATAAAAAAAGGATCCAATTTAAGTAAATTTTAAAGGTGAAAAAAAGAAAAGAAAGACAAATAAGAGGCAGAAGAAGGAAAAGAAAGACACATTACAATCAGGAACAACAAATCCACACATCATCACACAGTATATCCTGAGCTACTCTGGACACAGGAGCTTGCACTCCCTCCCCTCCCAAGAACCCATTAATACTGAACCCATGGCAATGCCAGAGTCACCCTTCCCCCGCGCGCCCTCCCCCCCGCGCCCTTCCCCCCGCGCCCCCCCCCCCCCCCCCCCGGATATACCAGACCAGACTCTGGAAGAAGGGAAGAGGGGGCAGCAGGGCTCCCCATAGAAGCCTTTTTGCGGATTATCAGTACATAGATCGCACACAGATGGTAAACGCCCGCTCTGCAGATCTGACCACACACGGGATTTGTAGCAGACAAAGGCGGTGAAGGATTTCAGTGTACAGAAGGAACTCCTTCTCCAAGCCCCCCCCCCCCCCCCCCCCTACACCCAGCACCAGCCCCACCAATACTAGTCAATGTGTCCCCAGCACAGGCGCCCAGTGATCACTAAGTGCAGTCCTTCGCCATCCTCCTCCCCTCCCCCAGGGTATGGGCGTGCCGCCTCCTCGCCCTTACCTGAGGAGGAGTTGGCGTAGAGCTGGGCCGGAGGATGGGGGGAGTCGGGTTCCTGCTGCCCCCTCCGGACATGATTTCCTCGGTGATGTCTCTGCCCCCCTGGTTGGGGTCTCTGATTCGAATCTGGAAAGAGAAGTGAGAATTGGCCGTGTGAACGCATGGCGCTCCTCTGTAATGTCCGCCATTGGGCGGCTCCCCAGGGAGGAGGATCACTCACCGTCTTCTTCTCTCTCTTTGGCCGGAGGTGGCGGCTGCTGTGGCTGCTGCGGAGGCACTATGGGGATAGGCGCTGACGGGTACACCGGCTGACTGGAGTAGAAGGGGGTCCCTACAACACAAGATTTACCCATCAGGTCCAAGTCCTAGACTACGAGGTCAGACTGACAAGGGTGTTCACTAAATCAGGACGAGGTCACTGAAGGGGGTATCACAGCATACGCACTGAAAAGGGGTGTTCACAGCCTGACTAAGGACTGACAATGGGTATCAAGCACTGAATCAGGACTGACAATGGTGTATACAGCACTGAAATCAGGACTGACAATGGTGTATACAGCACTGAAATCAGGACCGACAATGGTGTATACAGCACTGAAATCAGGACCGACAATGGTGTATACGGCACTGAAATCAGGACTGACAATGGTGTATACAGCACTGAAATCAGGACCGACAATGGTGTATACAGCACTGAAATCAGGACCGACAATGGTGTATACGGCACTGAAATCAGGACTGACAATGGTGTATACAGCACTGAAATCAGGACCGACAATGGTGTATACAGCACTGAAATCAGGACCGACAATGGTGTATACAGCACTGAAATCAAGACCGACAATGGTGTATACAGCACTGAAATCAGGACTGACAATGGTGTATACGGCACTGAAATCAGGACTGACAATGGTGTATACGGCACTGAAATATGGTTTGTATACAGACTGACAATGGTGTATACAGCACTGAAATCAGGACTGACAATGGTGTATACACTGCACTGAAATCAGGACTGACAATGGTGTATACGGCACTGAAATCAGGACTGACAATGGTGTATACAGCACTGAAATCAGGACTGACAATGGTGTATACGGCACTGAAATCAGGACTGACAATGGTGTATACGGCACTGAAATCAGGACTGACAATGGTGTATACAGCACTGAAATCAGGACTGACAATGGTGTATACGGCACTGAAATCAAGACCGACAATGGTGTATACAGCACTGAAATCAGGACTGACAATGGTGTATACGGCACTGAAATCAGGACTGACAATGGTGTATACGGCACTGAAATAAGGACCGATAAATGAAATGGGGAGGAACCACGAAAATCGGCCGGTGCCGTCGCCCCACTAACAGAGCGAAAATCAGCCGATTATTCTTAGGTCTGATTTTCGAACAAAAAATCGTTTTAAAATCGACCCGTGTATGGCCGGCCTTAGGACGACTTCATCTTCTATTCCTTCCCTGGAAGGCCAAACACCAACCGACAGCCTGCAGTTGCAGATCTTGTTGAGGTTCAGGCGGCTGACGTGGAAGGAAACCTTCTATGAACATCCCAATCCAAGCCGCACCACAACCGCCACACAGACGGTGGAAGCAACGATCTTCCATGTCATAGGACGAGAACCTATACGTACCATATGGGGTGGGGAAGTCTCCAGGTCCGGGGCCCGGGTAGAAGGGACTGGGGCCCGGAGGCTGCACTGGATACTGCTGCGGAGGTCCTACATAAGGGGGGGCGCTGTGGCGATACTAGAAGAGAAGCAGAGAAGAGTGAGACGAAACGCGGCGGAGGCGGAGCCGGCCCCATGAACGGTGCTGGTACCTGTGGTATACAGTACTGAGGACCCTGCGGCATTGCATATGGCATCGGGATGGCGTGGTTCACCATCATGATGTGCTGGTTGGTTTGGTAGACAGCGGTGGGTGTCTGTGCACCGGCTCGGATGGAGGGGTTACTGTTCTGTATGGCTGCGCGCGGCGGCTGGATCTGCGGCCTCTGGAAAAACTGCAGAAGAGAAAAACAGAGAAATGGATGAAACTCTACAGCCGAGGGGAGGGGCACAGCCGAGGGGAGGGGCACAGCCGTGGCGAGGGGGAGGGGACGGGCACAGCCGTGGCGAGGGGGAGGGGACGGGCACAGCCGTGGCGAGGGGGAGGGGACGGGCACAGCCGTGGCGAGGGGGAGGGGACGGGCACAGCCGTGGCGAGGGGACGGCACAGCCGTGGCGAGGGGACAGGCACAGCCGTGGCGAGGGGACAGGCACAGCCGTGGCGAGGGGACAGGCACAGCCGTGGCGAGGGGACAGGCACAGCCGTGGCGAGGGGACAGGCACAGCCGTGGCGAGGGGGGAGGGGACAGGCACAGCCGTGGCGAGGGGGAGGGGACAGGCACAGCCGTGGCGAGGGGGAGGGGACAGGCACAGCCGTGGCGAGGGGGAGGGGACAGGCACAGCCGTGGCGAGGGGACAGGCACAGCCGTGGCGAGGGGGAGGGGACAGGCACAGCCGTGGCGAGGGGGAGGGGACAGGCACAGCCGTGGCGAGGGGGAGGGGACAGGCACAGCCGTGGCGAGGGGGGAGGGGACAGGCACAGCCGTGGGGAGGGGACAGGCACAGCCGTGGCGAGGGGGGAGGGGACAGGCACAGCCGTGGCGAGGGGGAGGGGACAGGCACAGCCGTGGCGAGGGGGAGGGGACAGGCACAGCCGTGGCGAGGGGGAGGGGACAGGCACAGCCGTGGCGAGGGGACAGGCACAGCCGTGGCGAGGGGACAGGCACAGCCGTGGCGAGGGGACAGGCACAGCCGAGGCGAGGGGGAGGGGACAGGCACAGCCGTGCGAGGGGAGGGGACGGGCACAGCCGAGGCGAGGGGGAGGGGGACGGGCACAGCCGTGGCGAGGGGAGGGGACGGGCACAGCCGAGGCGAGGGGGAGGGGACGGGCACAGCCGAGGCGAGGGGGAGGGGACGGGCACAGCCGAGGCGAGGGGGAGGGGACGGGCACAGCCGAGGCGAGGGGGAGGGGACGGGCACAGCCGAGGCGAGGGGGAGGGGACGGGCACAGCCGAGGCGAGGGGACGGCACAGCCGAGGAGGGGGAGGGGACGGGCACAGCCGTGGCGAGGGGGAGGGGACGGGCACAGCCGTGGCGAGGGGGAGGGGACGGGCACAGCCGAGGCGAGGGGACGGCACAGCCGTGGCGAGGGGACAGGCCCAGCCGTGGCGAGGGGGGAGGGGACAGGCACAGCCGTGGCGAGGGGGAGGGGACAGGCACAGCCGTGGCGAGGGGGAGGGGACAGGCACAGCCGTGGCGAGGGGGAGGGGACAGGCACAGCCGTGGCGGGGGAGGGGACAGGCACAGCCGTGGCGAGGGGACAGGCACAGCCGTGGCGAGGGGACAGGCACAGCCGTGGCGAGGGGACAGGCACAGCCGTGGCGAGGGACAGGCACAGCCGTGGCGAGGGGACAGGCACAGCCGTGGCGAGGGGGGAGGGGACAGGCACAGCCGTGGCGAGGGGGAGGGGACAGGCACAGCCGAGGCGAGGGGGAGGGGACAGGCACAGCCGAGGCGAGGGGGAGGGGGACGGGCACAGCCGAGGCGAGGGGAGGGGACAGGCACAGCCGTGGCGAGGGGGAGGGGACAGGCACAGCCGTGGCGAGGGGGAGGGGACAGGCACAGCCGTGGCGAGGGGGAGGGGACAGGCACAGCCGTGGCGAGGGGGAGGGGACAGGCACAGCCGAGGCGAGGGGGAGGGGACAGGCACAGCCGAGGCGAGGGGGGAGGGGACAGGCACAGCCGAGGCGAGGGGGAGGGGACGGGCACAGCCGAGGCGAGGGGGAGGGGACGGGCACAGCCGAGGCGAGGGGGAGGGGACACGGGCACAGCCGAGGTGAGGGGGAGGGGACAGGCACAGCCGAGGTGTGAGGGGGAGGGGACGGGCACAGCCGAGGTGAGGGGGAGGGGACGGGCACAGCCGAGGCTGAGGGGGGGAGGGGACAGGCACAGCCGAGGTGGAGGGGGAGGGGACAGGCACAGCCGAGGTGAGGGGGAGGGGACGGGCACAGCCGAGGTGAGGGGGAGGGGACAGGCACAGCCGAGTGTGAGGGGGAGGGGCACGGGCACAGCCGAGGTGAGGGGGAGGGGACAGACTATTCTACGTGGAGCTGGGACAGGAAGACAGTACACGGGGCTACTATGTCCTAGGATGGGTAACCAATCAGAACCCCTCTGGGCAGAAAGGGGTCGGGCAAATTAAGAGCTGTGATTGGCTGATCACACCACTGAGCTCTGTCTAGGTTCAAAGCCCTCCGAGAATTGAACAACGTGACATGTGACCCCACAGCTGCCAATGGGCAATTACCTTCCAGCAACCTGACTGCTGTACTCCAATAAGAGAGCCAATTGGGTTGCCATGGGTTACGGACCGTGTGACAGGACCAGAGCCGGTCCATTGGTGGAAGAAATGCAGTATAGTCTTACCTGGATGGGTCGGAATCCTCCTTCATTGAGGAGAGCAGAGATAAGGAGAGTGAAGGGGGGGTTACACAGCAATCAGAACCAACATGTACAATCCACCCCCCCCCCCACAACCAACATGTACAATCCACCCCCCCCCACACAACCAACATGTACAATCCACCCCCCCACAACCAACATGTACAATCCACCCCCCCCCCACAACCAACATGTACAATCCACCCCCCCCCACAACCAACATGTACAATCCACCCCCCCCCCCCCCACAACGAACATATACAATCCACCCCCCCCCCCCCAACCAACATGTACAATCCACCCCCCCCCCCCCCGCACAACGAACATATACAATCCACCCCCCCCCCACAATGAACATATACAATCCACCCCCACAACAACCAACATGTACCAATCCAACCCCCCCCCCCCCCACAATGAACATATACAATCCACCCCCCCCCCACAAATGAACATATACAATCCACCCCCCCCCCCCCCACCCGCTGCCCCCAACCTCGGGATCTGTCCCCTAGGACGAGGCTCATTCCGCTGTGAAAGGAGAGAGGAGATACAAGGGGGCACCCCAGCCTGAACTAGGGGCATCTGACAGGGGGGGGGGGGGGCTACTCAGCCAGACAAGGGGACACCTGACAAGGGGGCATCTGACAAGGGGGGGGGGGGGGGGGACTCAGATTAAAAAGGGGCACCCCAGCCTGACTAGGGGCATCTGACAAGGGGGGGGGGGGGACTCAGCCTGACAAGGGGACACCTGACAAGGGGGGGGGGGGGGACTCAGATTAAAAAGGGGGGACACCCCAGCCTGACTAGGGGCATCTGACAAGGGGGGGGGGGGGAACTTAGAGTGAAAAGGGGGCATGTCAGCCTGATGGGGGGGCACATGACGAGGGCATCTCAGCCTGATGGGGGGGCACC